TTTAGTTTAACTTGTTCTACCCAGTGCAGAGCTGTTGCCATTGCTATTAACTCAACTGTATGAGCTGCCAGGTGATCTGATGTTCTCCTATTGATAGATACTTGTAAAGATGGAATGGTAAATGCATATGCTGTTCTTCCTGTAGGATCTTTGGATCCGTCTGTATATATTGCTACATAATTCTGATACAATGTTTGAATCCTATCCTCCACCAACACTGGCAGATTTCCTGTATCTTTAAATAGATGACTATTTTCCAGTAGATATAAATCAACGGATACTGAGAGAAATAACCATGGAGGAGTTACTGTTAATGGGACTGTAGGAATGTATGTTTCCTGATCTAATCCCATTTTTCTTGCTATATCCACGGAGATCCATGCAAAACATTTACTCTTAGCTCTCACTCTCCCGAGCGTGTAAACTCAACTGCGCATGCTCCTTGACCTTGTCAATAAACCACGCCCACGTGATGACGTCAGACCCGAACTAACTACTCAAGTGTTTACACGGCGAAGGCGGGAGCGGTACTGCTGCATGTTGTGAAAACACGCTTGTTCCTTACTGTATTACTAACAGTAGTGCTTTGTACATGTCGTTTTTAATATATGATTTTTAACGTTCTGATGTTTAATTCGTTGTCATTTTTTTCTATAATAGCGACCATGTGCAGATAGTTTTGATTTTAACTGAAAGTTTTAAGGGTCCCACAGGTTGTTTGTTAATTTGTGAAAGATTGGTTTAGCGCTATGAGCAGGTGAGCAGGTTAAGTGCAGAAGGGGAAGAGAGCGGCTCTAGAAAACACAGAGGTGGTCAAATCCAGCAATAAGAAGAAATCAAGAAATCAAATTAAAGAAGGTGAAGTGGTTCTCTGTGTGCAACTGAGAAACGTTATAAATCAAGGCAACTCGATGTTTGCCTTTAAAATGTTATAATGTTTAAGTTTGATTTCTTACTCCCACCAGAGGAACCATCTGAAACTGAACCGTCCTCATCATACCACTTTTTCCATGATCCTACTGAAATCCCTCTTTTCCGCTCTCACCTTCTTCAGTGGTATGATCAGAATAAGAGAGAGCTTCCCTGGAGGACACTGGTAAAAGCATCTAATATTCTTAATTAGTAAATAACCTAATCTAACAGACTGTACATAGTTTTTGTCACGTGACTATGCTTTTTGGGCCCATCGTATACAGCTGCCTGAGAGATGCTCATTGGAAGTGATCAGCATTTCAATGCTATAAT